TCACGAGAACTGCCTCCAACTTCAAGACACCCGTCAAATTTTCGGTACCTCCCATATTTCTGACTGATGCAGCTACAAATCAGGTTTATCCCCATAACCTTTACCCAATACTTGGACCTTGAAATTTGTACAAGGGTCACAAAACTCAGAAAGCTCCCTTCACTTACCTATTACCCAGTTATATTAAAATAAACAACTCAGAAAGACTGATGGGGCTGGTGAGACTGCATCCTTAACCTATGTGGTCTGTGCTAACTCTGGGTTGTTAGTGCCCGAATTAAGTTGGTTTACTGGACACTCAGTTGGTGTCAGAGAGTTGGAGAAGTGGGACTAGAAAAGACACCACACAACTGGTGTCAGGAGTTTAAAAACCCACACATTTGGTGTCAGAAGTATTGAGAGTAGGCCAGGTGTGGTGGCTCATAACTGTAATCCTAGCACTTTGGGAGGGCAAGGCAGGAAAATCATTTGAGGCTAGGAGTTCAAGACCAGCCTAGGGGCCAGACACGGTGGCTCATGCCTGTAATCCCAGCACTTTGGGAGGCCGAGGTGGGCAGATCACGAGGTCAGGAGTTCAAGAACAGCCTGGCCAACATGGTGAAACCCCGTCTCTACTAAAAATACAAAAATTAGCAGAGCATGGTGGCATATGCCTGTAATCCTAGCTACTTGGGAGGCCGAGGCAGAAGAATTGCTTGAACCGGGACCCAGGAGGCGGAGGTTGCAGTGAGCTGAGACTGTGTCACTGCACTCTAGCCTGGGCTACAGAGTGAGACTCCATCTCAAAAAAAAAAAAAAAAAAAAAAAAAAAAGACCAGCCTAGGCAGTGGCGAAACCCTGTCTTTACAACAAACACAAAAATTAGCCGGGCATGGTGGCACATGCCTGTAGTGTCCCAGCTACTTGGGGGACTGAGGTGGGACAGCTTGAGCCTGGGAGGCAGAGGTTACAGTAAGCTGAGATCTCACCACTGTACTTAGCCACGACGACAGAGTAAGACCCCATCTCAAAAAAGAAAAAAAAGTGTTCCAGAAAAGGGTTAAAATAAAATAAAAAATAAATGTTGAGAGTAAAAATAGACCACATGCAACCTCATCTTTCTTCTTCCCTTCTTCCTTACGCCCTAGGAAATGTTCTGTGAAGGTCAAGTGTGCAAACAGACATTCCAGAGAGCCTGATCCATATCCAGCAGCAGAGCCCACTTGTGGCTGCAGCTTTATGCCAAATTATATTGCAGACTGAACAGATGTTTATCCATCCCATTCGGTGATGAGGATTCGTGGCTGGAGAGAGCCACACAGCCTGTAACCTGAAGTCATCTAGATTATGGGGAAACTGCTCAGCTTCAATAAACCTGTCCAAATGACTCTGAAGTTTTTCCTTTTCAATTTAGGAAATCCCAGCATTTTAAAAAACATTTGAAAGCCTTCTAGGTGCACAAGAGACACACCAATGAATAAGCTATCATTCCTGCCTTCAAGGCTAGTGAGGAAGCTGGCCAAAACAAGCAACCTGAACAGCTACCAGAGCTCTGGGGTTGGGGGGCAGATGACTTTGAGGGATGGGCAGGTGGTGACATTGACGGGGTCTGGGATGGTGATTTTTGTTTCTTTGTTTTTCTTTCTCTTTTTTTTTGAGACAGTCCTGCTCTGTCACCCAGGCTAGAGTGCAGTGGCTCCATCTTGGCTCACTGAAACCTCTGGCTCCTGGCTTCAAGCAATTCTCCTGCCTCATCCTCCCAAGTAGCTGGGATTATAGGCATGCGCCACCACACTTGGCTAATTTTTGTATTTTTAGTAGAGACAGGGGTTTCACCATGTTGGCCAGACTGGTCTTGAACTCCTGACCTCAGGTGATCCACCCACCTCCGCCTCCAAAGTGTTGGGATTACAGGCGTGAGTCACCGCGCCTGGCCAGCAGTTCCTCTTTTTTTTTTCAAACAAGATTTAGAATCTCCCCAAGGGTAGTTTAGAGAAAGGAAAATCCAAGACAGGAAATCAGAAGCTATTCATGAGGGGGAAAATAACCTTAATAATGGCAAAGTTACACAAACAACAAACTAGAAAGGAATCATTTCAGAAGCCAAGAATTCAACCCAAATCACCCTTGTCAAAAGACAAAAACTTACCTACTGAGCCACACAGCATTGGGCAGTTTCTTTGTTTCTTTCTTTCTTTCTTTTTTTTTTTTGAGACGGAGTCTCGCTCTGTCACCCAGGCCGGAGTGCAGTGGCCAGATCTCAGCTCACTGCAAGCTCCGCCTCCCGGGTTTATGCCATTCTCCTGCCTCAGCCTCCCGAGCAGCTGGGACTACAGGCGCCCGCCACCTTGCCCGGCTAGTTTTTTAATATTTTTTAGTAGTAGAGATGGGGTTTCACCATGTTAGCCAGGATGGTCTCAATCTCCTGACCTCGTGATCCGCCCGCCTCAGCCTCCCGAAGTGCTGGGATTACAGGCGTGAGCCACCATGCCCAGCCTGCTCAAGATAATTTTTAGGGCTATGACATGGACCCCCAAATTCCTGTCCTCTGTATGGCAGAAACCAAGAGAAAGTATCCCCACATGGCCATAAGGTTAAGCTCTTAAGGACACAAAACAAGGCAGAGAAATTTCATTTGGCATTGGTTTCAGAGACCCATAGTAACATTTGTAACTGACCAACCTGATGGGCTGGCTTGAAAACTTGGCTTATAGGCATCCTAAACCCACGTTCTATCCTGTGATACTCCCCTCTTCATTACAGAACAACACAGAAAGACAAATTCTTAGCACAAAGTACATCAGATTTGCTACAGCCTAAGACTTGTCTGACAAATCCTTTTTTTCTACTAATCAAACCCTTGCAGAGAAAACAAATAGTGGCATTTACCGTTTACACACACATACAGAGAGACAGAGAGAGGCCAGAAACTTGGCTGGTAAGAATTTCTTAGTCTGGCTGGGCATGGTGGCTCACACCTATAATCTTAGCCCTTTGGGAGGCCCTGAGGGGGTAAGATACTAAGGTCAAGAGGAGATCCAGACCATCCTGGCCAACCATGGTGAAACCCCGTCTCTACTAAAACACAAAAAATTAAGCTGGGCATGATGGTGCGCACTGTAGTCCCAGCTACTCAGAGGCTGAGCAGGAGAATTGCTGACGCAGGAGGTGGAGGTTGCAGTGAGCTGAAACACGCCACTGCACTCCAGCCTGGCAACAGAGCAAGACTCCATCTCAAAAAAAAAAAAAAGAATACACTTCAGGCACAGCGGCAAACGGAAGGATGCATGGGACAAGGTTTGGAGGGGCTGTGGAGCTTCTTGCCCTCTGCAAGGTGCACCACCTTCTAGTGCATGGATATGTTTTAGGGCAGGGAACAGAGTCTGGAGGCAGGCACCTAGGCTGTTCAGGCTGACTTCCTAGAACTAAATTGAAAGGGAAATCCTAACTTTCCAAGCCTAAGTAACGAAAGGGATCAGAGGTTACCCTTTGCAAACCCTACCTTTTCTGTGGAGGATGGAAATTCTAAGTACTCTAATTAGTTGCTATTTTTTTTTTTTTTTTTTTTGGACGAGAGGTCTCTCTCTGTTGCTGGGCTGGAGTGGCAGTGGCACCATTGGCTTGCTGCAACCTCCACCGTTGGACTTCAGGTGATCCCCACATTACTGGGCTGCATTCCCCAGAAGGTTAAGGCATTCTTAGTCACAGGATGAGATAGGGACAGCATAAGACACAGGTCACAAGACCTTGCATAATAATGGTTGTGGTAAAGAAGCCAGGAAAACCCCTGAACCAAAGATGGTGAATGAGAGTGATCTCTGGTCTTCCTCACTTCTCATTATACACTAATTATAATACATTAGCATTAGCACCCACCCACACCCAGCTAATTTTTGTATTTTTTAGTTAGAACGCGGTTTCACCATGTGTGGCCAGGATGGTCACCATCTCTTGACCTGTATCGCCCCGCCTTGGCTTTCCGCAACCCAATCAGACTCTTACAGGCACTGTTCCATTTCAATTTACAGGGGTGAAAATACCCAGTGGAACCAACGGGAACTTCTAGAGGGTATTTGGGACCTGAGAAATATCTGTATCCAGGGCCCTTGAGTGGCTACTGGGGCCTCTCCCACCTGGTGAAGTGTACTTTCATTTTCAATAACTCTCTGCTTTTGTTGCTTCATTTGTTTTCTTGGTTGTGTGTTTTGTTAAACTCTTTATTTATTTATTTATTTTGAGACAGAGTCTTGCTCTGTCTCCCAGGCTGGAGTACAGTGGCGCGATCTCGGCTCACTGCAAGCTCCGCCTTCCGGGTTCACACCATTCTCCTGCCTCAGCCTCAAGGTTGCAACAGTGAGCCATGATCACACCATTCCACTTCATCCTGGGCAACAGAGCAAAACCCTATCTCTACCAAAAAAACCCATAAAAGCAAGAGGCTATCTTCTCTGAGGTTTACTATAGTTAACTTTTACAAGTATTTAATCATAATTGCTTAGATCGCAATGTCACATTCAGACACTAACAGCAGTTCACTAGTATTATTCTGGCGACGAAATATAAACAGCATAAAAATGTGATAATGCCATAATTACTCTTATTCTCTGCCGACTAGAATATTGAACCAAAAAAAAAGTTCTAGCTCTCATACCAAAAGCAGGTAATTCATTGTATAGCTAATGATAATCCAATTTGAACACTGCAGCTCGAATAAGCTTCTTGAATACTGATAATCCAAGTAACTGAGAGCTTGAAGCAAAAGACATTAACTTTCGGCTTTACATAGAAGATCGACAAACTCGATGAAGTTAATGTAATCATAATGATACCACACGTCAACAAGCCAAACGCGGTTAAATCGATCCACTCGATCAAGATACCTATTTTTGTTTTTGAACGGAGTCTCACCTCTGTTGCCCACGCGAGTGCCAAGGTGCGTGGGATCTCGGCTCACTACAACCCTCCCCGCCTCCCTGAGATCAAAGTGATCTCCTGCTCCCGAGCACGGGATTTACAGCACAACACCCCATGCCAGCAATTTTGGTATTTTTACGTAGAGATAGAATTTCCACCATGTGGCCAGGCTGCTTCTAAGCTCTAACTCCGACCCCGTGAACCACCTGCTCTTGCGCCTCTCCAACAGTGCTGGGATTACAGCATGAGCACTCGCTCGCGCCTTATACGTACATTCATAGGCATAAGACACACAAAATGTTCCCTGGAATCCTTCACATAGAAATCAGTCCCACAAACTTTGAAACTTTCCTAAACAAACTTACATTATTTCAACTTCTTATTTGTTTTCCTCGAGACACAATCTCACTCTTGCCCAGGCCGGGGGTATCAATGGCTAATCTCGCCATGCAACCTCCGCCCCACCACGGATTCAAGTGATTCTCCTCAGCCTCCCTGAGTAGCTGGGATGCACAGGTGCCTCGCCACCCACTTTAGACACTGGCGTTCCACCATGTCCGCCGGGCGGTCTCGAACTCTATCTCGGGCCACTCCGCCCCACGCGGCTCGCAACAAGTGCTGGCATTCAGGGCGTCTCCTGCGCATTATCCTAACTATTAAAGAAAAAAGTATTCAATGACATTTGCTAAAGCATGGTAAGGAAGACTGTTTTAAAAAATTACTTTATTTTCGAAACTGGGTCTCACTCTGTTGCCAGGGTGGAGTGCAGCAGCACAGTCTTGGCTCACTGCAACCTTTCCATCCCAGGCTCAAGCAATCTTCTTACCCCAGCCTCCTGAGTAGCTGGGACTGCAGTTGTGCAACACTACACCCAGCTAATTTTAATATTTGTAGAGACAGGGTTTTGCCATGTTGCCCAGGCTGGTCTTGAAATCCTGGGGTCAAGTGATCCGTCTGCCTTGGCCTCACAGAGTGCTGGGATTACAGGCAAGAGCCTTGGTGCCCTGCCTTTTTTTTTTCTTTTGAGATGGAGTCTCGCTCTGTTACCCAGGCTGAAGTGCAGTGGCTCAATCTCTGCTCACTGCAAGCTCCGCCTCCCGGGTTTACGCCATTCTCCTGGCTCAGCCTCCCAAGTAGCTGGGACTACAGGCGTCCACTACCATGCCTGGCTCGTTTTTTTGTATTTTTATTAGAGATGGGGTTTCACCGTGTTAGCCAGGATGGTCTCGACCTCCTGACCTTGTGATCTGCCTGCCACGGCCTCCCAAAGTGCTGGGATTACAGGCATAAGCTACAGCGCCCAGCCTTTTTTTTTTTTTTTTAATAGAGACAAAGTCGTTCTCTGGCTTAAGATGGAGTACAGTGGTGTGATCATAGCTCATTACAGCTTTGAACTCCTGAGCACAAAGGATCCTCCTGCCTCAGCCCCCCAAGTAGCTGGGACTACAGGCATGCACCACCACACCTGGCTAAT